TGGGTTAAACAATTACAGAATACCCTAGACATAACATTCTCAAACTCTATGGAAAGGATGGGAAATAAAGAACTACTGTCAATGCTGCCAGCTGGGGAAAAAAAAAAAAAAAAAAGAACAACAAACCCACTGGGCAACAGAAATAAACAGGAGAAAGTGGGTCGCGAAACACACCGAGAACCCAACATCTTTTTCATCTCCAGAAACACTGGTACTTTGCAACACACACAATAACAAATCTATGTAAATCCAATGGAATAGTAAATGTTGTTAAAATGGAGAGAACTACAGTTTTGAGTTAGTTCACGTTACAGATAAATTCTACACCACAGCATGCTAAATTTGGATACGGTAATGGTGATTTAGGAAAAATGATGTAGAGGCTTCAGTGTAGCAGCCATACAAATCTCTTGGAACATAAAGAATCTGAGATAATAAAAAACTAGCCAGATTTGATTTAGCATTTCTTCGTCCTTGCCAAAGATGCTGGTTACTGGACAAGGAAAGTCTTCTATAATATGAACAGGATAACACTTATATTTGGATCCCTTATAAATAGCTTCAGCTGACATTTAGGCATCAAGTAAAACAAGTCAGACAGACGTGGTTTTATATATGGCAAGGGAATATTTAAACTTTAAACTTAGAACTGTCTCTCACTGGTAGAAGAACAAGGATGTGGAAAAATATGGGCAGGATATTAAGTAATTCAAATAGAATTGTCAGTATTGTGGGGAAAATTGCATGTGTCTTTTTAAAAGAGCTTACTGCTAGGAAAGTAGGTGTACTGCTCTTCTGAGTTTTCTGTAACTTGAGTGGAAGTGATTGTTACCAGGAGAATACCTTTCCTTTTGTCAGATCTTCTAATTCATACTCAGCAAAGGGCAGGGAAGGCCAAAGAAATATCTTGGTCTTACTTCTCAGGGGGTTAATCCCATGTTCATTTGTGGGATAATGTTTCTTCTAGGAGGAAGCTGGCCTGCCAGTTTCACTAGTGGCAAGAACCAGATTTTACTGCAGCAACAGAAATCCAGAAAAGTCTTGAAGCAGTCTCCTTAACTAACTCAGGTTTTCAGCTGCAAGAATAAATGCAGGAAAGGATTTTCTCCATGTACAACTGATAACTGATGTGTTTCTTTCTGCGATTTCTGGTGCATGATATTTGTCTTATTTTCTTCAGAGTTGTAAAAGAAATGAATCTTCTGTATGTAGCTTCCACGAGAAGCACTTAATTGATACTAGTTTAGTTCTCAGTTTTTTATTTCTAATTATCTAACTGCTTCTCCTTATTCTTCATGAGCTCTAAGTTCTGCTTTCATCTAGAACATCAATGACTTTCCACTCTGCAATGCTAAATTCTGTATTTAGTAGTTTCTTTCCAATACATCCCCATTCACTAACCTCTTCTTAGTCCTCTGACACTCCCTTTCTAAACATATTGTTGTTTTATCCCACTTGATGCTACTGCCTCCTTAATAGTATCCTCTCAGGGGAGGAAAACAGCCATTTCCTCTTGGCCTCTTTTATTCCCCAGCTTCTACATAGGGGGTTCTGATGAGGAGAACAATGAGGAGAATGAAGCTCCTGCCATGTCCTTATCTACCAGGGGAAAAAAAAAGATCACACCAGTGAAAGATGCATATGATTCCCAAATTCAAAATCTTAATAGTCAGAGCAACTCCATAAATAATGGAGAGCTTCGAGCAATTTCAGCCTTGCCTCTTCCTCCTCTGCTACCTTCTTTCCTTCCGTTCCAGGGCCAGTAACAGCCACAATTACTGGTGAGAAGAGTAAATGGATAGCCAGTTCCATATAGCTATGGCCATGGCAATGGCCTCTTCCAGAACACCTGGACTTGACACACAGTCAGCAGCATATTGTAGGTTCAGTCATTGATGACGCTGAGGACTGATGCCCTTGGCTTTAGACAGCTCTAACCAGGTGAATATTACACAGAACCACAGAATGGTAGGGGTTGGAAGGTACCTCTGTGGGTCATCTAGACCAACCCCCCCGGCCGAAGCAGGGTCACCTACAGCAGGCTGCACAGGACCTTGTCCACGCGGGTCTTGAATATCTCCAGAGAAGGAGACTCCACAACCTCCCTGGGCAGTCTGTTCCAGGGCTCCATCACCTTCAGAGTGAAGTTCTTCCTCATGTTCAGACGGAACTTCCTCTGCTTCAGTTTGTGCCCGTTGCCCCTTGTCCTGTCACTGGGCACCAATGAAAAGAGTCTGGTCCCATCCTCCTGACACTCATCCTTATGATATTTATAAGCATTTATAAGGTCCCCTCTCAGCCTTCTCTTCTTCAGGCTGAACAAGCCCAGCTCCCTCAGCCTTTCCTCGTAGGAGAGATGCTCCAGTCCCCTCATCATCCTCGTAGCCCTCCGCTGGACTCTCTCCGGTAGCTCCTCACTTGTAAAAGCTGAGTGCACCTCACTCCCAGAGCAGTTGTGCTTCTCCTGAATACTACCAGCACCTCCCCAAGGTGCCTTCCA